TCCAGCCTCTACCTCCTGAGTGCTGGGATTATAGGTATGTGCTGCCACACCTGGCTTATACAGTGCTGGTATACCCAGGGCTTAATATATATTAGGCAAATACTCTACCAATTGAGTAACATCTCCAGCCCATACTTATCTTAGTAAGATGTAAATCTTTTTTATTTATAGGCATTTCCTTTTTATCATAATTGTATTTTCATACCTAAAACATTCTATATCTCTTTCCTACCCTTGCTGGTTCCTTTCTTTTTTTAAATGAAATTTCTGATGTAATTGGAGCTTTTTGCTTAAAACCAAAAAACATGGACATATGGTACATCTAACCACTTTTTATTTAAATTTTTGATGTATTTATTTTCATTTTATCTGTATAAGTGTTTTGCTTGAAGGTATGTAAATGCACCGTGTGTGCAATGCCCGTGGAAGCCAGAAGAGGGTGTCAGTGCCTTAGTTTGTTTCTCTATTGCTGTGAAAAATACCATGACCAAAAACAACTTGGGGAGAAAAGGTTTATTTCAGCTTACAACTCTCTGTCATAATCTATCACTGAAGGAAGTCAGGGCAGGAACCTGAACGCAGGAGCTGAAGCAGAGACCATGGAGGAACAATGCTTCCTGGCTTTTTCTGACCAGTGCTCAGCCTGCTTTCTTACACAACTCAGGACCACAAAACTTACTGTGGGCTGGGCCTTCCCACATTACTCAACAATCAAGAGAATGCCTCACAGGCATGCTAATCTGATAGAGGAAGTTCCCCAACTGAGGGTCTCTCTTCCTAGGTGTGTCAAGTTGACAGCTGAAACTATCCAGCACAATTGGATCCCCTGGAACTGGAGTTATAGATAATTGTTAGCCACCATGTGGGTGCTAGGAACTGAATCCAGGTCCTCTGCAAGAGCAGCCAGTACTCCTAATTGCTGAGCCATCTCTCCAGCCCCACATCTGGACCACTTTTTATCTTTTACAAAATGGATCTAGTTGGAGAATGTTATTAAAGTTGAAATCGCCGGTATTGGCCATGTTCCTTAGCATCTCACTTAAATCACCCGGTTACACTGCATCTCACTTAAATCACCCGGTTACATTGCATCTCACTTAAATCACCCGGTTACATTGCATAAATCTAAGATTTTTTACTTTGGGTCATTTTCCCAATTGTTTATAAAAATAATAAAAATAATTAATAGCTAAGGCCAACTAATTTTTTTTCTTTTTGAGGTTTAGAGATCAAACTTGTCCCAACTACTAAGGGTACATCCAAGAGGTAAAGCACTAGGAATTGCAGGGGAGTTGTCCACTAGAGGAGAAAGAATTCAAAGAGCTCATACCAAAGTAACCTTCTAATTAGCCTTATCAAAATGCCGGTGAATGGTTGGGGCATCTGCTTTCATTCAAGAGCCTGGGAATCAAGTGTAGAATACCTTTCCAGATACCAGAATTGTCTTGGCTTGTGGGAACCAAATTTCACAAGTAAAGCCCACACGGCAGGCACCCTGCCTGATTCAGCGTACCCTGTCTGATTCTGTAGCTGCCAAGTTCAATATTACCTGGCAATCAGATGTAGTGCATATTGCTTGATTACAGAATTGTTTTGTCTGGCAGGAGCCAAGTCCTACATGTGAAACACCAGTGAATGATTAAGGCATTCTTCTTTTACTCAGGCGCCTGGAAATCAGGTGTGGTGTACCTGATTATAGAAACATCCTGGAGCTAGAGAGATTGCTCAGTGGCTAAAAACACTTGCTGTTTTCCCAGAGGACCCAAGTTTGATTCCCAGTACCTACATCAGGTGACGCTAGTGCCTGTGACTCCAGCTCCAAGGGATCTGGTGTCCTCCCTGGGTACCCCCACACCCATGACATATAGACACATACATAAAAAATAAATCTTAAAAAAAAAAAAAGCAGTGGTACCGGGTGTGGTGGCACACGTCTTTAGTCCCAGCACTCGGGAGGCAGAGGTAGGTGGATCTCTGTGAGTTCAAGACCAGCCTGGTCTACATAGTGAGTTCCAGTCCAGCTGGAGCTACAGGGAGACCCTGTCTCAAAAAGACCTCCCCCCCCCAAAAAAAAAGCAGTGGTGGCACATGCCTTTAATTCCAGCATTTGAGAGGCAAAGGCAGATGGATCTATGTGAGTTTGATGCCAGTCTGGCCTACACAGGGTTCCAGGCCTGCCAGTCTTGACTAGCAGGAACTAAGTTTCACCATTTTTATTTTTGGTACATAGTAAAAATACAATAGCCTCTCTCAGATACATTATGAATTTTGTTCCTATAAGGAACTGGAGCAATTGGGAGGAAACCCAAAAAAGAAAGAACTGCTTATATTGGTCACAAATATTGAAGGCTAATGGCCTCAGGGGAATCTTTAAGTTTCCTTCAGGACTCAGTACACTACACAAAATATGTGCCTCAAATACTTACATTAGAGGTCTAGTATTATATCCTCAATCCAATACTGGAAATATAGAGACCTTCTGACAAGATAACAGGGACGCTGGGATACATTACATGAGCAGAATAGCCCTCACTTTGTAAATGCGGCCTGCAGTTAGGTTAGCATGGATGTCACAGAAGGTGGGAAGTACAAGTGGAGCAAGAGCAAGTGACCTGAGGCTTCTAGTCCCCAAACTAGGAAAGTAAGGGAGCTCCCAGAACCACATACCAGCATGCATATACCAAAGGAAGTTGTAAGTGTAGGGGTAAGTAATTCTGTGGTATCAGTCCAAGGGGGTGGGGCATACACATTACTGTAACACTGAGTGAGACTGCATAGAGGAGCGTCACATGGTAATATCAGATTTAGGAGTCCTTTGTTAGCTAGCTAGTAAGCTAGTAGACAGAGACAGGGCTCATGCCCAAGAGAACTCTTGATCCTGAGGAGAAGCATGGCAGGGCTTATAAAGCTTAAAGCCACAATTACATCATGCCAGGGTCAAAGCCAATAATCATAGTTACATCAGATGACCACAGCTACACCAAATCAGGGGCAGGTCAGTTAAAAAAGAGGTTTTGTTTTTGTTTTTGTTTTTTGGTCTTTTTGAGACCGGGTCTCTCTGTAGCCCCAGCTGTCCTGGAACTGACTATGTAGACCAGCACTTAGGAGGCAGAGGCAGGCTGATCTCTGCTTCCTGTGCTGGGATTAAAGGCATGCGCCACCATGCCCGATAATAAAGAGGTTTTTAGTTAACGAAAAGTTTTGATAAAGAGAAAACAGTTTCTCAGAATTGCAGAAACAATGGGCTCCATGGAGGTGCAGGTACAGCTGGGAGGGAGGATGTGCTATCTGGACATGCTACCTGGCTACATGTAAGGTTCCCAGTATTGTATAAATAATGTACTTCCTAGTCCTTGGGCTCTCTATTGAAAGAATTCAGAGGAACATGCAGAGCATAGTAAAAGACAGGCAGAGCTTATTTCTGAGCCTTTTGCGTGGAGGTGCCCTGGGGCAAGGCTTGGCCCTAGAGGACATCCCATTAGGTGGTCGTAGTGGCTCCAGCCTTCTGGGTCCCCTCTGTCATGAGACTGTTTTCATTCATAAACAAGTTGACATCTGCCTCAGGTAAGGGGGTGTCTCAGAGGTCCGGGGAACTGGCCTGGGAGATGTCCAGCAGATCCTTACAGCCATGTAGGAGCACCTCCAGGTTATTGTCCAGTTGCCAGGTTGAAGCTCTGAATGGCTTAGAAGGTGAGACAGGGCTAATCAAAGAACAGACTCTGGTACTGAGTGATGTGGGTATTTGACATCCATTGGCCATTTGCTCCCCAGAGGAGGGTACCCAATGCATGGGGGGCCATTAGGATTAAGTCTTGGCCCAAGGTGAGTTTGTCAGCCTCCTTCACCAGTAGGACAATAGCTGCTATGGTGTATAGACAGGAGAGCCATCCTGAAGCTACTGGTTCTAGATACTTGAAGAAGTATGTTATAGGCCTTTGCCAGGGTCCCAGAGTCTGAGTAAGCATGCTTTTTTGCAACCCCCCAGGTTTTGTGAATGGAAAGGTGGACATCAGGCAAGACCAGAGCTGGGGGTTGGGTTAGGACCAAGCCTGTTGGAAAACCTGTTCCTTTATCTCTGGTCCCCAGCTGTGGCTGAGTAGTGGGACTTTACTATTTTAGCCAAGCCTAGGCTACAAAGTTGGCAATATCCTGCTGCCCCTAGAAATTTATGTATCTGGTTTTTGGTCTTAGGTGTGGGGATCTGGAGGATGGCTTCATTCCAGGCTACAGTAAGGGTCCTCTCACCTCAAGAGAGTTTGTGCCCTAAGTAGGAGACTTCCATCTAGTAGTGTTGAGCTTTCTTCACGGAGACAGGGAACCTCAGGTCCTGGAGAAGCTGGAGCAGGTCTCAGGCGTCTCACAGGCAGGTGGCTGCATCAGCAGTATGTAGCAGAAGGTTATTCACATACTGGAGCAGTATCGAGTCAGAGTGAGAAGCCCTGAAGCTTGTCAAGTCCTTTTGAAGGGTTTTCCCAAACAGTGTGGAGGAATTTTGAACAAAGGCCAAATTTAGAGCTCGGGTGTTCTCTAGAGCCAGAGGATCAAAAGGACTCCTTAGGCCCCTGAAGAACCTCGGTGGTTTTGGATAGATTTGTGGCCTTTGGGCTGTCCCCTTGATTCTCACTAGAAGTGCCCAGTAAAAACTGTCCAACGCTCTGGAGCAGTCAGGACCTGAGGCTTTTCAGAAAACAGGGGCACGGCCAGATGCAGGGCCCCATGTCTCTGTGTCCATTCTGAGGTCCAACCCAGGACCCTGGATCCCAGGTCCTGGATCCCCAGGTCACTGACTACCAGCAACAGTAGGGCAGGGAGGCCCTCAGCTCTTGGGAAAGAAGAGAAGAGAGAAACCCAGTGTAGCATACATGGGGGTGGGAGACAAACAGTGGAATTCTCATTGCAAAGAAAGCTGTGTGGGCATCTTTTCAAGGTACCTAGAAGCAGCAGCAGAGCAGTTTCTGCAACCACCCCAGCCACGGGTCCTGTATGCCCTCCCTTGGGGCCTGACAGTTCTGGGACTCAGGGCAGAAGGCAGATAGGGAGGAAGGCTGGAGCTTGACAGGACATTCACAGCATCTTGGGTAAGTAACACAACTGGCTGAGGGAGACACCCCTCGACCCTCTTTCACAGGTCAGCTGGGGGTGGTTGGGGGGCACTGATCTGCCTGCTGTGGATAAGAGTAGCAGGAAACCTGGCCATACGGAGAAAGGTTATGGGCAGCTGTCTTGGAGATTAGGGCACTGTCAGTACATACAGGAGCCAAGGGAACAGCCATAGCTTCACAGTAACCTTAAGTCAGTGCTCAGGCCAGGACTCAAGGGACAAGCATCCCCAGTAGACAGAAAGGCAGTAGCATCAGCTTTGAACAACTGCAGAACAAAGGAGGAAGGACCCTGAAGATCACTATATTCCATCCGCATTAGTAATGTCTCAGGCTTACTTAAATTTTAACATTCCAGATCCATTTATGGGAAGCGTGAGGAGGACTGAGAAAACTGCCGGGATGGAAGTGAAGGGACAGCAAGGATGCTCTGGGGTCTTCCATGTTATCCCATTTTGTGGCTTTTCATTTGTCTACCCAGCCAGTCCTGATCAGGCAAACAGGATCACAAGGTGAGAAAGTCTCTGACAAAGAACAGATGGAAACATCCAGCCCCCCAAATCAGAAGATGAGGGGGTTCAGGAAGGCAGGAACAGCACTGTTCCACACCTCACCTTCTTAAGGAGATTTATAGTTGTTTTTAATTTTTATTTTTTATTGGCAGATATTTCCTGTAATGGTTAACACTGACTTGAATTGGTCACTATTATAAACCTGGGATGGCACAGGGCATTAGTCCTCCCTCCCATTACCTTTAAAGAATGTAATCCCGTTTTAAACTGAAACATTTTTTAAAAATATTTTATTTTATGTGTATGAGTGTATTGCCTACTTGTAGGTAAGTGCGCCATGTCATGCAATGCCCGCGGAGAACAGAAGAGAACAGAAGAGGCCGTCAGATCCCCTGGAACTGGAGTTACCGACAGTTGTTAGCTGCCATGTGGGTGCTGGGATTCGAACCTGGGTCTTCTTCAAGAACAGTCAGTGTTCTTAACTGCTGAGCCATCTCTCCAGCCCCCTAAACTGAAATATTTTTTAGTAAAGAATTATACTTTTTTCCCCTTATGAAGAATAACTAAAATTAAACCAAAGTAAATAAAATATAATTTTTTTTCTGCCTTTTTACATTTACTATATATGCTTAAGTTGGATTTTTCCTATCTCCTTTTATGTTCTGGGACAATTAAATGTCTTAATTTTAGACAAAACTTCATATATATTGCTTTTTAGTAATAAGGCAGAGTAGAACAGCATCTCCTTAGGAACAGTCATCTAGAGATAAATACCAACTTGTGCCCTCAGAAGGGTGGATAAAGGGGCCAAGGACGGGGGTCATAGAGCATTCACCACCTGTCCTAACATCCAGGAACACTGCTTTCAGAGAGAAGAGAAATGAGTCCCAGACTAGGGAAGTCCAGCCTGACTGAAATCCTCCCACCTTTTTTCTTTCATCTCACCAGCACAGAAGAGGCAAGTGACGGGCTTCAGTGGGCAGTGTCCTGGCTGCAGGTCCTGAGCTATATTCCATTTCTTCCCCTTTGTGCCAGTTGTAGAGGGTCTGGAGAGAGAATACCTCAGAGAAACTCGCTGCGGGTGGTGAGAGGACAGGCCACGGGGACAGACCTGGGTGAAGAGAAACGAGAATGTCCTGGACATGGGAGGGGGCTGCTCAGTAGGGTGGAAAAACTGCAAAGCCACAAACCTGCCAGAATAGAGTTGTTGAAAAGCAGTGGCAGGAGGTAGATACATGGAATTTACCAGGCTTGCCAATCTCAGAGGGTGACCCTGCTGTGGTGCCTAAGAGGCGAGGGCCATGCCACACTGGTATACAGTTATTACAGTCTGTGGAGTAAGCCCGAGGGGAGAATCAGGAAAGGAAAGTCACAGGACAGCCGTTGAAACAAACAAGGACACACTCTCATCCCAGAATAAACAAGACAAAAGACAGGACCCTCTGGACAGGTACTTTCCAGAGCATAACTCACTTCCTACAACTGCCCAGTCCTTCGTTCAGTCATACAATTATTCATATACCTAAAACAGACTTGAACAGAGACCAGAGTAACCAGGTTTAAGTGGTACACCAAAAATTCCAGATGATCTCTTCAATCTATGTCTTGGCTATTTCGGAGGAAGCCTTGGGAAGGTCTCCGTCGTGATAGCACTCCTATTTTTAAATACCAGACCAGACCAGACCAGACCAGACCAGAATGGAGCTCCAAACCAGAAATAACAGAACTTACCTCCTAGGAGAATCAGAAGGACTCAATCAGTTTTGGTTTTGGGATCTTGGAGCAGTCATTCCAGGACTCTCTGGCTCTGATGAGAGAGTCGTGGGGCCCTGGAATGTCTCAGAGGATGCCTGTCCAATAACAATTCATCAAGCCAGGAGATCTGGAGGAGCAAGGCTGAGCCCCTGAGTGGAATCTCGCAAGGGGCCTCCAAATGTAATATGGAGGAGAGAGACTGCACAGAGGGACTCTAAATTCTGTTATACTAGCTAGCAAGCTGGCAGTCAAAGAGGGGGCTCGTGCCCAAGAGAACTCTTAACCTTGAGGAGCAGCAGGAGAGGGTTTATAAAGCTTAAACAATTATATCATGTCAGGGCCAAAGCCAATAACCATAGTTATATCAGATCACCATAGTTATACCAGACCAGGAGCAAGTCAGTTAACAAAGAGGTTCTTAGTTAACAAAAAGTTTTGATAAGGAAAAAAAAACAGGTTTCTCAGAACTGCAGAAACAATGGCTCCATGGAGTTGCAGGTATAGCTGGGAGGTAGAATATGCTATCTGGACAAAAAAGTTTCTCAGGATTATAGAAACAATGTACTTCCTGAAACTACCTGCATGAGTTGTTCTGCCTGACTGGCTGCAGTGGGAATGGCTGGGCAAAAACACAGGGTAAAGTAAAAGTCAGCTAGAACAAAACGGAGTTAGTTTTGCCATTTCCATTACCATGGTGAACATGAAGAAAAACTGACTGCGAGCAGGTAGAAACACTAGAAGATTTCTTAGTCAGGACTCCTGTTGGTTCCCTAGTCCTTGTGATCTCTATTGAAAGAGTTCAGAGGAACACACAGAGCATAGTGTGGGAGACAAGTAGAGCTTATTTCTTTTCTTAAAATTTTTATTGAATTTTTGTGTATTTCATACATAAAATCATCTTTATACCCTCTTCCCCTTTTGCATCCTCCCATAGCCCTCCACTGGAGTTCATGCATTCTGTCATTTGTATAAAGGCCTATTATGTAAAGTCAGTGTCCTGTGATGTCCCTCAGTGCAAATTCATCCTCTGGGGTTTAGTCAGCCTACCTAGATCTCTCCCTTCAAGAAGATCAGCTCTTCCTTACCTAGCAGTAATCAGCTGCCAATAATTCTTTGACTAAGATTGGGGCTTGCTGTTCATTTCCACAGTTCTGTGCTGGGTTTTTGTCTGCCTAAGTTTGAATGGGTCTTGTGCATGCTGATACTATTGCTGTAAGTTTGTATGAGAAGGGTCCCAGGAGCCTGTAGAACTATTTCCATATGATCATGTACCTCCTCCCTGGCTCTTACAATCTTTCCACCTCCTTTTCTGCAATGGTCCCTGACCCCTGGAAGGGTGAACCTAATTATAGGAGTCCTGTCCAAGGACCCACACTCTGTTGACTCTAATTCTCTGCTTTTTGGCCATTTGTGGCCTTTTGTGTTCCTGGCCCTGTTGCATAAGGGAGCTTCACTGATGAGAATTGAAAGATGAATTAGTGTTCTCTTCATCCCTTGTTCTTCTATGTTCCATGAGTCTTAGGTGTAGAGGTTGCATCCCAGATGTGCCACCTAGGCTTGGGCGATTCATAGAGAATCTCTGTGTGACCAGTGGTGTAACTGTAATAATCTCTGTTGAAAAAGAAGCAGCTTTGATGGGTGGTGACTGGGATACTTGTCTGTAAATTTAAGGATCCATATTTTGCACATAGTAAGAAATTACATTAGTCTATGGGTATGAGAGCCTTGGGGTTTTGTCTAAGGTCTATGAGCTCTCCAGCTATGTGTATTTGTCTAGGTTTACAGTACCAGACATGAGGTTCCTCCCATTGAATGAGCTTTAAGTCCAGCTAGGTAGCTGTTGATTACCCCCAGGATAAAAATGCCATTACTGAACCAATGTCATTTGCTGTACTGGTCACTGATGTGGTTTTTAGACCTTGGTAGAGCTTATTTCTGAGCCAAGTAAAGCACACTCTTAAGGGGTGAGAGTGGAAAACAGTTAAGGAGCTCATTGTGATGATCTACATTTTAGGTAGGATTTATACTATCTCTAAAGACTTATTTTTATTTTGTATGTATGTATGAATGACTGCAGGTGTGTGTCCAAGGGGATCAGAAGATGACATTGGATCTTCTGTAACTAGAGTTATAGGCAGTTGTGAGCCTCCTGATTGGATATTGGGAACTGAACCCAGGTCCTCTTGAAAGGGCAGCAAGTACTCTTAACTGCCATCTCCTACTTATTCTATTTCTAAGGGCTCAGTGACAGGTGGATATTCCTAAGGGGTGTTTTCCTATCTAGGTGTGCTGGATAGCTTCAGTTTTCAACTTGACACATGGGTGGAGGGAACATCAATTGAGAAATTTCTTCCATTGGATTGGCCTCTGGCCATGTCCATAGGGCATTTTTCTTGATTGTTGTGTGATGTGAGAGGGCTCATCCTATTGTAGGTGGTGCCACCTCTGAGCAGGTAGTCCTGTGTTGTATAAGTAAGCAGGCTGAGCACCCAGGGCAGAGGTGAGGTGAACAGACCAAGGAAGTAAGCCAGTAAGCAGCTATCTTCCATGGTCTGTGCTTCAGCTCCTGCTTCCAGGTTCCTGCCTTGAGTTCCTGTCTTGACTTCCCTTGATGATGGACTGTGCTGTAAGCCAAATAAGACCTTTCTTCTCTGTTAGAAAATTTTAGATTGGGATTGACCAGGGCAATGTGAAAATGGAAGATGAGACCCA